CATTGGAACAATAATGTTGGGCGAAGGGAGTTTCCGTGACTGCTGCAATTTTGAAAACGAGCCCGAATAAAAATACCAATCGAACTTACGGACTTTTCCGCGCTCCCGATTGATCCTTCGCGGAGAGACGAACGTCTCCGTGCGACCGCGCAAAACCGCCTCTGACGCGTTCTCCGTTACGAGTGTGCCGCGATAATTAATCGAATAATGGCATGGAAATATTGCGATGGAGATTTTTCCCGAAGGTCGCCGACCCCTCGCGGCCCGTCGAGGACCCGAAACGCACGTGTGCATGTACAGGCGACGCTTGCACGCGCACCAACGCGAAGTGTCGGTATCACCGGCGCGAGAATGTCGAATGGAATTGCGTCAAGCGAGATGCACACCACTCCGCGCGCGCGCGCGCGCGCGCTGGCGCGGGTTTTACCGTTTCGCGCTGTTCGTCGTCTTCGCGCGATGCGGCGGCTCAAAGGTTACAAACGCACTGACCCATGCGTGTCACCGTTATTCCCATTGATTTTTCCCCACGAAAATCCGCAGAGCGTGCGATCGGGCGGGTAGCTCTCTCTCTCTCCTTTCTCTCCGCCGGGAGAAGCGCGCCAGCGCACGTACGAATCGAATCGGCTCGCTTGCCGGATAGAAGAAGGCGCGCGTCATTACCTTATGTAGTACATGGGAAGCCGGTGAAGCCGGGCTCCATCGGCTCCGGCTACCGTATTTGCATGATTGACGGAGTCTCCCGAGAGAGGGAGAGAGCGCGCGCGATAACCCTCAATGATGGAGGCACGGATACGGCAGTCCTTCGTCCTATTTGTCCCGATGCGCGCACTTATTAACGTTGCTGCGGCCTTAATCACGGCTGCTGCCAGTTTAATCTCCAGTGTAATTCTGGATTTCCCTTCTGGCTCCGCGCCGATTGATTAACCGCACGGAAGTCCCTTCTAATCTGTCTTTCGTTCGTCTTAAGGGAGCGCGGAGTGATGGATATTGTGCAATCTATTGCGGACCGCCCGAAGCTAAGCTGCGGCCCGAGCGCCGACGTATTACACAATAAAACGGACGGAAAGACGCTGATATAATTATATTCAAATCTCGCTTCGTATTATCAGCAATAATACATCGTCCGAAAGTAACATCGTGGAATTCGATTGAAAGATTCATCGTCTGCTGTAATCGAATACGTCCGAGTACGCAAAAAAAAAAAAAGAAGAAACAATTCTATTCTTGGTAAAGATACTCGTACGAGCATCGCGTTTATCCACAACGAAATTGCCGGTTAAATAACTCGATTCGCGACCGAGACGGCAGGATTAACTGTGAAAGCCGGAGCAATCCTTAACAGTTTCTCGGAGGAGATCGTGCAAACACAGAGGCGGTCCCTCCGAGACGTTTCACCCTCAATATTATCGGAACGTACCTTGGCAACCCACCCTCGTCGCAGCCGGGAGACGCTCCGTCCCCTCGCGACGCCGAATTACGACGTTAGGATCGATCTGCCGCCGGTTGTCACTGCACGCGCGCATCGACCGCCCTCGAGGCAGCTCCTCTTAGCCCGTCGAATTGAATCTCGATACACTCGGTTGACCGTCGCCGCCGCCTCCGACGCAGCACCTATTCACGCCGCGTTCGCGTACCTCGAAAATTTCTCGCGCCACGGCGTATCCACGCCGCTAGTAGTCGCGGCGTCTTATAGACAGACCGTCTGACGAAATTCGCGCTTATAACGCCCCGAGAGATGTTGGCTTATCGAATTTCAGCCGTGGGGAAATTGCCTCGAGATTGATTAAAGAATTTGCGACTGATACAAATTGACAGGAAGCCGATCCGTAATTCGGGATAAAATAGAGTTTGTCATTTTATTTGCGCCGTTTCGATACGCTTGCAAAACATTTCGACTCTTTAAACGCTCTTCACGACACTTCTACCGCAAATTATAGACTTCGAGCGGACTCAGTAGCTACTTTTCCAAAGGAAGAATTGGCTGCAAATTCGGCGGATTCGCCATTGAAAAGACATTCCATATTTTTACTGAAGCTTCGACGGTGGGTTTCATCGATTTTGTGAGGTCGTGATGTGACTTGATGCATCGCTGATCGCCGGAATTATACGCGCCGGGATATTTTAACGATCAGGGTTGGGAAGTAACTCGTTACTTGTAACGAAGTTACAGTTGCAGTTATTTTTTTTCGGTAACTATAACTTAACTTCGTTCCTTTTTCTTCATCTATAACTGTAACTTAACTTAGTTACACATTTATGTGTAACTAGTAACTAATTTAACAGTTAATTTAATATTCTATATACGGTTGTATTAATTGTAAGAATTAGGGCTTATCCAGACAAACTTGCATAGTCGTATAAACATATGCATAAGGAAAGGAACAAAATTGTCATAGAATTTATCATATTAAATGTAGATTCGATATTTGTTAAATAAATAGACGGATAAACGTATAGATATTAATTATGAAATTCAACAAAAATAAACAAATTTTCATTTAAAGAATGCACTGCCACCCAGTAATAAATTATCTTTGAGGATTATTATCATATAAGCATAAAGTTGAGATTTTAAGAACTGAAACATTAGTCTACGATTTTTCGGAAAGTTACGACTGTTTGTGTGAAATTCGTGAATTTTTAAACTGAAAAATCTTAATCCTATAATTTTTATTCTAAGTGTATAATAATTTTTAAATTATTTATTAATTTAATATTTTAAATGTATTTTTATTTTAAGTTTAAAACAATTGTGATTTATTACATATAAAATAATATAACACAAAATTAAGTACCTATATAGTATATAATAAGTTAATAAATCTTGAAATGTAAGATTCTTCTATTTAAAATAGTAGTGCACATTTATTGCAAAAAAGTAACTGAAAAGTAACGACTCGTTACTTTTTGAGTAACTATAACTGTAACGTGTTACTTTTCAGAGTCGGTAACTTGTAACTGTAACTAGTTCTTTTTCAGTGAAAAGAACTGTAACTTTAACTAGATACTTTTACAAAATAACTTTCCCAACCCTGTTAACGATACAGATATAGTTGGAGCGATGTTGCGCGCAGCGCGCGCAACGTCCCGGGCGTCTTAAACGCGCCCGTGAGAGTCCGTCTGAAACGTCTTCCGGGCTTTCTGCTCAAAGCTCGTTCCGTGGCTCGGATTCGGATTACCGTTAACCGGCGAGTTTTGCCGACTCGGAGACGCGTAACCGTCTAATAACATTAATAATGAGAAATGCCTCGTAGGCGGTCGTGAAATCGAGGGAGATTTTCATAGATTAGTTCGATCAGGGAAGAGTATCGTGCAGCGTCCAAGTGTCATTATCCATAAGTGCGGCATGCATCATGTGATTACGACCGTGATGTCAAGCACTAAGGAAACGATATTCCCAAGCGACTTCAATTAAATCACCGTCGATATGAGCAATGGCGTGTATTTGATATTCGCGCAGAGATCGCGAGTTATTATCGCGACACCCGTACTTTACGCGCCGAGGTCGGAGGAAGAGATTGCTTTCGTCGCGAAAAGTTCGCGCGACTCATTGGCTTTCGGGCGTAATAGCGCAATTTCGGCTCTATCAGATTCGCCAGATTTAATGCCCCCTTATAACGGCTTCAAGATGCCGAATGCTTAAACGGAAAAGGATAAGGCAAGTGAGAGAGGATTGAGTGTATCTTATCGTGTGAGACGCGAGAAAAAATTTATTAAATTATAAAGCTAGCAATCTGATAAGCGATATAAACCCGTGATACTGGGAAATCCTGCGTCTTCCTCCGCGCAGAATTAGGCTCTTCGTCGGATAAAATTGGCGAAAAAAATCTCAATTATTAGCCTATTCAGCTTTTTTCAAAATACGCATTTAACGGGTTCTTTCCCTAATTTTGTCACGCCGATATCTTTCGCCCCGAGAGACTGCAATGGCGCATTCGGCCAATTTAAATGAGCGTAGACACCCGCGAGCGTTGTCATGCAGAGCCGGTCGCGTCCGTACCTTCACGCGCGATTGCCCGACAGATATCCCTCCTGCTCGCTCCTTCGGACTTGCCCTCGCACGCACGCTCGTACGCGTGTACAGAACGCACGCAAGCCTCGTGAGAACGGCGCTCGTGCGTTCTCCTGATTTTATTGGCGCCACGCCGTGCCGGGCGGAGAAAAAGAAACGCCGAGCGCGACAAATTTCTGCGTCTCTCAATAATTGCGAATGATATATTGATATTTATACTGGCGACAAACATTATATCGAATCGACCATTTCTGTTCCACAAAGGAAGTGCAGTTTTTCTCATTTTGCTAAATTCATCCCGCAGCCTGAATGACACTCTCCTCGTCTCGCAATAAAATGCGCTTGTCTTTTCGCTATTTATATACGCTATACGGTAAATACGCGAAGGGGCTTGGATATCTCGCGACTCCTTTCTTAATATCGCTCCTTCTACGATACTCACTCAACCATCTGCCGTGGATTCTATATGCTCAGCCTTCGTAAAAAAGGCAGACGATATTCGCGTCTCTCTTTCCCTACGCATCGGTACATTCGCGATTGTGCAAATATTGATGCGCGCGCACACACGTCGGCGCACGATGTAAAGCTGCTACTAAGTATCAGATTCGATACGCATGCTATCCGCGAGGCAGGAGTCGAGCATGTCGCGATGAGACGCGGCCGGGCATTCGTTGCACAATTCCATCACGTGTGAACGAATTGACCACCTGGTCAATATAAATAAATAACGTCCATTGGTATGCGGGGCGTGCGAGGCCGTTTACGTGATCGATTGCCCGACGCGAGCGTCGTTACACGCTATGTACGGTAATCGGTCCGTAATCGTCCGCCGGGGCATACATATGCGCCCGTTTTGATTCGCCGCGAGAATTTTGTCTTAACTCTCTCTCTCTCTCTTCCATGCATTCGACTCTCATATGAGGATGCATTCAAATTTCCTGCGCGTGGCAGTTAAAAGTAATACGTATATACATGCATGTTGGCTTACCTGCGCGGACTTCTCAATCGCGGCGGCTCTGCTCAAAATTCCGCATACCTTGAAAAAAGAAAGAAAATACGGAAGTCAAGTTCCTTTCTTAACTATAAGAGTGATTTAAAATGAACAAAGATTCATGTCTGAAATGTCAACGAAGGTATTAAATTTAGTTAATTTGTGCGTGTCCGTTCCTTAATATATTTTTCTTTCGGAGAATCAATTTTGCCCGCGCAGTTAAATCAACTTGGCTTGAGTGTATTCTTAAAATAGGCACTCAGTCAAATTTAATTTCATTAGTCGATGAACGTCAACTCAAATGAATTTCGTAGGAAATTACGTAAAGTAGATTCGCGCCGCGATGCGCGGACGCGCGAGCGATGAATCAATTTTCGTGCTGAATCATCGGTTAGTGGTCAATTATCAAATATTACGAAAAAAGTGCGCTGCGAATATACGCGAGGCGACGCTCGCTTGTTGTTAAAATCGAAATGACGACGTTATCCGGCTTACGTCAGCCGCGGCTCCGTCCAGAATCCGGATGCGATCGATGACGTGTGCTCCGCGATGCCGCCGGTAGGGCAAGCAGCTAGCGATTAACGACACTCGTATAAAGTGATGGCTGCGATGCGGTTTACAAGCGTGATTCACGTTCACGCCGGGTAACATCGATAAAACCGCGCTAAATTATGTAAAGGTTCACGCGCGCGGCACCGCGTCACGGCCGAGCCGCGGCGGTTGCCCCCGGGAGCTATCGCTTTTAATGAGATGCACGAAGAGGGCAAGATGGAGATCTCGCTCCGACTATTTTCGCTCTCAAATTAAACCGGACGACTCGACCGACATTTAAACGACCACAGACTTCCAAGCCCGGAGTTCCGAATTCTTTATTAATAATTCTTACGATTTCACACGGTTTCAACTCCAAATGTAACACGCTTTCATCTCTGAAGATAACATTTGAATTTCAAAACTCGTTACAAAAATGTTACATCTTGACAATTTTATTTTCTGTGATTTAAAATTTCTTACGCCATTAGTGTGAATTGTTGAAGCAAAAAAAAAGTTGTCAATACCAACTTACCATGGGCTTCGCGTTACATCTTCGGCAATTACTTCTGAATCCAACGTGGTGGAGCGAGGAATCCTCCCGCCTTTCGCGATGATAGGCTTGATTCACTGGAGCATTGTCTCCGGACGATACGCATACAATGGCTCAAAGCGATCAGAATCTAATCTATGACTTATAGCCGCGATGCTCGCCTCTTGAATGAACAATGTGCCGCAGCGCGTGTATTTTTCCCGCTTTTTTTTTTCTTATTTTGCGATTGGTTCGGTTGCTTACATAGTCGAACTCATAATCCGCGAGACTCAGCTAACACAGCAATCGTCGTCATTGCTATTTATATTTCGTGCTTACTTCTTCCTAATATAAAAAGATATGTAAAACATATGTCAGATTTCTTTTAATATCTGCAACTAAATTACTATTTAAATATAAAGCTACACATTGAGGAGAAAAACTGAAAGTATAAAATACATTTTTGCAATTCAAGATGTATTATGTCAGAATTGCGTCAAAATAAATTACCAACTTAAAGTTATTAATTATATAAGAATGACGTTTCTATAAAGATACAAGATTTTTCAGCTACATTATCGAAAAAAAGAGCTGGAATTTTTATATTCACGGAAAAGTTAACCAAGACTCGGCTTTGCTTTCGCTATACAATATCCACGATTATGCGTGCCAGGGCAAAGGTCCCGGTCGCTCAATCACTTTGACGAAAGGGAAACGAAGGGAACAGCCCGCTGACGCACTGTGGTATATTGCGCGGCGACGGCGGTGTTCGGCGCGGCGACAAAGTCGCCTAACGCAAAGCGCCTGGGCAAAGGGAGGAAGTCAACGGCCACGGCGACGTGCATTTAGCGGTCGGAAGGAGCATTACCTAACACACGGCGTGAGATTGGATCTGCTTGCGCGGACGCGGACAAGGAAAAACGAGTGGATGACTTCCTACATAGATAAGGATCGCCGCGGACGAGTATCCTCTTTAAGCGACGAGGTCGAGCCGGTCCTGTGATCCAGCCATTATGCGATTCCTTGAATTCATTAGGACGTTTGTCAATGCGCCGTTCGTCTTTTCTCCGCGCGCAAGCAATTGAGCGGAATTTTCCTTAAAAATGTCCGATTCCACAATTATCGACGAACGCTCTTCTCATTTCTTTCAGTATTATTTTACGAAAATATATTATTCAAATGGCCGCAAAGTCACACTTTTCAAATCTTGAAACTTATCTTTCTATAATACTCGCACATTAAATTCTAAATGAGCAAATTAGACATAAAATTTTGAAGATTAAGCTGACAGATATTTATGACACTTGTGACATTTATAGGCTTTTCATTCGCGACCCGGCCGCAATAATCGTTGTCCTTATCGAGCGCGTTCTGATCCTCTGTAAATGCATCATCCGGAATACTGTTGCACATTGTGTCGGCGATGCAAGGGCCTCGGCGAGCGCGTTGTCGCGTCGCAAAAAAAAAAGTATCGGGGTCGCCGGGGAGGCAAAGGAAGAAAAAAGGGGGAGAAAAACGAAGAGTGCAACAAACTGCGAAATATAATAGGTCTGAGTTACGGCCGCGGCTGTGTGGTCCTGGTTTGACCTCCGGTCGCGCGAGGTAGTTAGCTTTGAGGCTTAACACACGGCACATGACGTACGCAATGCAGCGGCGAAGCCGCGCGGAAGACGCGGCGGCGGTGGTATAATACAGCTTTTTTCTCGCGAGAGAGCTTACGTCGCGCTCGTCGCACGTCGACGCGCTGAAAGCGCCCGCGCGCTTTTATCACCGCGAAATATCTTATCCGCGCCCGGCGCGCTATCGCGACGATGCTCTCTCGCTAATCAACCCGCTGCTGCGTTTACGAGAGACCGTCCGTTTCCTATCTCATCGCTTGAATTAAGTTATCTGACACGGCAGCGGCTCGCTTGAATGACAACGTACAAACTGGCGTATAAAAAGGTATCGTTAACTTTTAAAAATCTTATTAATAATAAAAAAGGTAGAAATCGAGATCTGCAAGTAATCTGCTTTTACAACAACAAAGTAGTAATTCGTCCGCGCAATGTCTGTAATCTTTTTCATTAAACTGATAAAGCTCCGTCGTGAAGCTTGGAATTAAATTTCGCGGAAGGTTTATGGGGCTGTTAAAAAAAATGTTGCCCCGCAAGCGCTGTGTAACGTTATTCCTCGGAGCAACGGGCTTTTTGTCGCCGGGGTAGGAGCCGGCAAGGGCAAAAGCGCGATTACCGCATTCGCGCAGTGCGCCTGCCGCATTTCGTAACCCAGACGAGCAAGAAGCGCTCCGACGAATACAGAAGACGCATCCGCGAATGACCTGCACGCGAAAGGCGAGGAACATCGCCCCTGCGCGCTCTCTCTCTCTCTCTCTCTCTTTCCCTTCAGAGCCCACCTGCATCCGCAAACATTGCATAAGAGCTCGGAAACGGAATTCGCGGAGAGAAACGAAGACTGCACGATCGACTGGAGACTGTAGCGGTGAAATTATTCCTACTAAAATTACATCACGTATAATTACGTCATGTACAGTTTATTACAAGGAGCCTCGAGAGATTACAGCATCACTTCTCAATCAAGAATGGATCATTAATATACACGCGTAACTCATTTAAGCATCACACACGACTGTGTGTGAAACTTACGACGATTCTCTGTCGAGTTGAGCACGAAAATTGGACGAAATTTTGCAAATATCATATTTTGATCTTTACAAAATAAATGAATCGCAAAATAAACAGAAGCAATCTATACGTCTTACAAGATGCGACATCAAAATGAGAATTAAAATAAAGTGCATTCTCGAAGAGGGCGAAAGCGTCTCTCGACGGCAATGTCGGCACTCGATTATCCGTCCGGCTGATGCGACAAATAAAAAAACCAAGTTGACGCTCCGAGCCCACCCGGCGCGATCGAAAGTCATCCAGTTGCCGCGGCGTTCTGGCTCGCGGCCAGCTGACTTCGGTGCGAGAACGCACCACCGATCATCCCGCGCACACCCACACCGCCGTGAGCGCGGTGCCTGCCCAGCGCACACGTGCAACGACCCCGTGAACTTGAACTTGCGCCGGTTCTCGTCTCGTTCGCGGCGCGGCTTCGAATTGTTCGTCGAAAGAGTCGTTAACGCGGAGGAGAAAAGGGCCGACCCGCGTCCGAGCAACGAGGAAGGGCACGCGAGCAGCGGCAAGTGTACGCGCGAGAAATACGCGCGAGAGAGGCTCGTTCGCGGAAGGGGACAAGCGGGGGGCGCACAGCGCGATGATAATCGCTACCAGGAAGCAGCGGGGGCCCCCGTGGCACAACGTGGCCCACAACAGCATGCGCTGCCGTCGCCGGAGAGCAACATGTGCATGTCCTCCGCGCGCGCGCTCTCGGTCTCTCTTCAATTTCTAAACTTCGAGAAGCTGCGAGCGAGCGAGCCGGCTAGATTTCAGATGCGCCGAGCGAGCCGCGTGCGCGGGCGAATCTTTATGCCGCCATATGGCGGCCTCTCTTTATTCCACCGCCGGTTTTATACTCCCGTCAGACAAGTGCGGGCTGTTGTGAATGCGATTACGTGCTTCTCGCATAAACGCGATGCCGTCGTCGTGGCCGCAGCAACGACCGACCGGTAGCCGCCGTCGCGCGCGCGCGCGCCCGCTTGCTCGCCGAATTATGCCGACCTCCGTCGACCACGCGGGGTCGCTTGATCCTGTGTTCGGAGTCAGCGCGAATAAGCGATGTCGATAAGGATGCTCGATGAAATGACAAGCGAGGAATGTGACGCGGCGATTCGTGTCGAAAAGATGAAGAAAAAAAGGAACAACGCGGACCAGAGTGCCAAATTCGGCACCACGGTCAGCATTTGCTTTGTCTGATTCTGTCCACGTCAATTTCAAGCTTCGAAACGTTTATGCGTATCCATAACAAATTTCTTAACCTCAAAAATATTCCTAGACTTCTCGAATATTCTTTTCTCTTATGAATGTAATCGATTGTCTCGTCGCAAACATCATTCCCAAGTAACGGAACTTTCGTGTAAATCTTCGTTATCAAATATTTAATGCCGTAAATTGAGAACTCGCGACAGATTTCATCGCGATTTATAGGAACTCGCAATTTCTCAAATAGAGAAAATCCTCTTGTCTTACCTTTTTCGTATCGACAATAGCGGCGGCGCGAGCCTTATCCTTGGTGCATCGGCACGGCCGGAGGACGAGGTAACTCGGTATGCGGGTCACCCCGTTCGCCAGTGCGCGTATCGCGAGATGCATTGTCTGATCAGATAGCGCGCGCGCGAGTTTACGTTATCTCGTGGCCGCTACCGCATAACTCTCGCGCTGACCGCCTTGCTCTCTCTCGGATTCGCTCGCGCGTGCTCTCAGCCGTTATGTATGCACAGCTCGATCGAACTCGCCATCTGAAAATTCAAATGTCTATGTTTGCAGCTAATGTCCGAGATTTTCCCCGTTTCTCAGTTCTCGGAGTTGAAAAGGCAAAGTTACAAGTGTACAGCGTATCTTCCATACGTAAGAGAAACGGCTAAATATATCCGATAACGCATGTGTTATAAACGATAAAATACAACGCATGGACAAAACACACTTGCTGGAAACATCTGATTTCAAAATATCGATTTTTCTATACGTTGATCGTTTGAAATTTGCAAGAAACAAGATAAAAATATGATGGGAAATAATTCGAACGACACATAATGCAAAGTGTTAAATGGTTCGCAATCATCTCCGGTGCGCGAGTCCTCGATAAATTGTTGAGTCTACACTGCGTTACGTACACTCTCGAAGTATGCCGTCGATGGGAATACAACGTGAGTACTTACCCTTAGTCGCGACAGGCGATCGCCTTTCTCAGAATTAAATAAGTCCCTTTATTGGTTATCGGATCACAGCAGCAGCAAGTTCAAGGTTGACGAAGTAAAAATAGCCGGATCTCGCCAGACTCTCTCGCTCGCTGGAGCTGCTTCTGCTGCTGCTGTATTCAACCGGAAATGCACTGCCCAAGAGTGGACAGCACATTTCGAAGATCACCCTGCCGAATTAATCTTTCTAATCAGTCCAAAATAAATAATCGGACCGTCAAACATAAAAATTTTAAAATTTTTGTAGAAAACGACTGTTTGCGAAATATTTTAGTGACTAAATTCCGGTCCTTTTGCGACTTTTTCTTTTTCATCCTTTTGTTCGTGAAATTCGATATATCGAAATTCGTTAGGCGCAAATAATATCTTTCTGACTGTGCAAAATGTTTCCATTCGGAAAAACGATCGTTAGTTTAACAGCTGAAGGAAAAATGCGGTACGCGACAAAATCGCTCGGTAATTAACGACATAAGGCGACCGTTTCAGACATTTCAAATCGTGACGCCGATAATGGACATTGCAGATTGTCGATCGCGACGAGAAGCGCGGTGCCACTCGTGGCTTTTGCAAAAAAAAAAAAAAAAAAAAGAGCCTACACCTCGCGTAAAAGAAGAGTAGCACTCGGAATGACTCTGACGACCTTAGTCGTGCAGCTGAGAGAATTATTGTCTGTCCGGCGTGCGCGCCAGCTTTCAGCAATGAAGATATAACGAGGTCGAGCGTGTCAAGAGCTCTGTCACGCGACCAGGTTCCCCTCCGCGTGCCTCGCGAGCCTAAATCTCGCGAACTAGGTAAAGAGCACGCAAGAGGAGTCTAATCTAGAAAAGCCTAACGCATGCCGGACCTCGATTCGCATTGGACTGGCAAAAATTATGTCGTATTCCGCCGACAAGAATAAATCCTAGTTTTATTCTCTTGACGTGAATTCTTCTAATTTGTATTATAATTAATTTGTTGATTATTTTGCAAAGAATAGGATGCAGGACGCAAAGGACGCAGGATTTGGCGAAAGTATTTGGAGGATAACGCTGTAATAAGTGATAAAACGTATTGTATACTTAAATATCATGTAATTACTGAAGAAGGTAATAGCGCAATAACGCTAGTTTCAACGTCACTTTTTATTGAATATTCAAAGTGGTAACACTATTAGTAGCGACATTTCTCATAATGTGTAATAAACAGATTAGCCTAAAAACGCTTGCTTCGTAGCATCATCCTCACACTTTCATCATCTCCGTCATCGTAATCGGCAATTATCATCTTCACCCAAGACGAAATACAAACGAATCGCGATCCCTTTGCTTCGTCACATAATGATACACGTACTTAAATTTATTAGAGATAAATTGCGAGAATCTAGCATAAAATCAGTGACAAGTGGGTGTATTTATATATGTATAATTATATATATATAATACGTACGTATAATTATATATAATTATATATACCTATATACAATATAGGTATAGGTACACTTACGGTGTGAGAGTTATCCCGGAAGCGGATGGGCTTCCGCGATAAATCGGCTCTAAAAATCACGATGTCTATCTTACGTCAATTGTCTACCTATTATTCAGACATTGTTCTCAATCTCTTTCAAGCACGGGCTAAACGTGAACTCGATCGCGCAAGCCGATCGGAGGAAGCCGGTCCCTTGCAAGATCCTTTTGCAACTTCAAAGACCGGAGTGAGTCAAGTGGAGATATGTGTTGTATTGAAATGATGAGAATGGATCCGTGATCCTGGAGGGGGAAAAAGAGGGCAAGGAGGGACGGATAGTTTTACCGAGGTGGCTTATAGAGTGTCTATTGCACTGCTACAACTATTGCAGAAACTATTGCGATGATAAACATTGTATGTGTGTGTGTGTGTGTGTTTGTGTGATATGCCCGGAATACAATTGCAAACTATACCCTGATTGTTGTTTCGTATAACTAGATATCGGATACTATCGATCAGTTCTCCCTCCTTCAGAAAGCCGACAGCCGATTGTGCGCGCGCGAGAAATGTATCTGTTGCAAAAGAAAATACTCCACTCGTATTCGACGTACCTTGTCTCTTTTCTCACTTTTGATAATAATCGGGGCAGCGTTCATCGGAACAAAAAAAAAGAAAAGGATTATTTTCCGTCGAATCGAAATGTCGATCTGCCGAGTTCAATTTTTCGAACTTTTGGTTCGCGCGCAAAATAGAACGCCGGCTTGACGAGAAGGTGGAAAAAACCTTTCGACGCTATTTATGTACTATTGGTGCACTCGCGCAATCGATTTCGCCCGCCCATCTCTCTCACGCCTTTCCCACATCTCGGACGTCTGCCCGCGGATCAATTGTCGGCCGCTTACGGCGGCCGAGCGCGCACATTAAAAAGCTACGAAAAGGACTATGCTTAAAAATTAGTGAAACATAATGACAGTGTACATCGTCGGTGCTTCGAGTGGACTTGGTCGAACTCCATCGATACGCCACACTTTCTCCTACCGCAGTGGTTTCGGATAAAAAATTGAGCTAAAAACGGCGACGGGGGGAGAAGGTGGCAGGGGAAAAAAAGAAAAAGACGCCAAAGCAAACAGACACGTCGAAGGACGAGAAGTACGAACAGCTTCGCAGGCGCAAAGTTCGCATACTTCTCTTTCTCTCATGCACACATTCTCTCTTCTCTGTCTTTCTTCTCTCTCTCTCTCTTCTCTCTCCTCTCAACGCGCCGATGCGGAATCCTGTAAAGTATCGTTAACGAACGCTACTTCACCGTCTTCTCGCGGCGACATTGAGCAATGCTCGAGACCTCGATGTGCTCCGCGAAATCCCTATTCGCGTTTACTCCGCTCGCGAATTCCATGCGATCGCATTTCTCCGCGGGAAGAAACAATGAAATCGTAAGTAGCGGTGGAGTACGCGTACACACAGACAGATTTCATCGACCTTTCTTTCTCCCCTCGCGCGAGAAAAAAGGTGCTTTCTCACGACAAGATCGGAAGAGTTATATTTCAATATGCTTCTTGCGTGCCCTTAAAATCCCGCTGTACAGACACCCTTGTGGCCGACACAGAGGCTTTCTTTTACCCGAACGGCGCGGCTTCTCGAGCGGAACATCACAGTGTAGCGAAACGATTCTGCCCGGGCAGCGTGCAAGTGGGTGGGCTCTTCTTCTACTTACCGATCCGATTTAATTCGCAGGAATTTCGACGAGACAACGTCGGGCAACATCGAGATTTATCGTCGACGCCGGTCTTCAATGTGTCAAACGTTTCCGCTCCTTCCTCTTCGACCGTCCTTCTCTGTTAATCTAATTGTCATTCTCCCCTCTTTCTCGCTTTATTTCTCTCTCTCTTTTCTCTCGCATTCTTTCTCTCCCTCTCTCGCGTTTTCTCTCACAAACCCTCGCACATTCTCTAATACGCTACGGAGAATTAAGTAACTATTATCTTTGTCGAAAAATAGGACATCGTGTTCGCTACTCAATCGTCGGTCCCGCAGTTCCTCGCGCGCTATACCTCGACCACTGTGCGCTTCCGAAAGGTTTCCTCTCCCGAAAGGTACACTCGTATACATGTCCGGCAAAACCGAGAAATACTAGAAATCGCGAAGATAAAAACACCAATGTCGGCGCGCGTCCCTCGATGACTCTCGTCGTGAGAATAATAAACGCGATCCCCGGAGCGTTGCCACTCGATTCGAAAAAAGTCGCGCGAATCCCATCCCGGCGCTCGATCGCGATCACACCCCCCCCCCCCCCGTCCGGTGAAGCCGGTTGAAATTGACATCGGTGTGATGACGACGTCGCTCGAAAACATCGTTAAACAGTTCCGACACGGAATGTATATAATAGCAAATCGTGCCACACTTGCGGGATATATTTAATTCTTCGCTTAAATCGATAAAAGCTAGTCTTTGATATTATTAAAGAACACCACACGGTCGTATAATCGTGCGCGCACACACCTCTCCACGCTGCGGAGTTTAAGATCCGCGTCGTTTTTCTTACACTAAAAACTTGTAAAGTCTTAAGCCGGCGAACCATAAGTGTATAAGCTACGCAAGCGAGTACTCGCAGGCAATGAAAAAAGACAACACACGCCTCGTCGGTCGTCGTGCACGTTCGCCGAAGACAACCGGAAAAAGAGTAACGCTTTCGCAAAAATCGAATTCGAACGCGCAAAATGTGCCCTCTCGACGACGGGATCGAGCGTAATTTCAAAATCATACAATATTATGCGGATATGAATATTTCGTTTGAAAAATATCAACACTCATATATTATATACAATTAAATCACACGATCGCGCATTGTCGGACGTGCACAGACGTGCACATTTTGCGGGCAATTCGACGTTTAGCTTCTGAGAGCAGAAATTTTTCGGTCGTTTTTCCAAACGTGATCACGAGAGCTCGAGGGTGACATGCTTAACGATCATACTGGATCGCCATTGTCGGGGCTCGGCCTTGGCGGTATCTCAGGCGGCGCAGAATAATCGTTCGTTGAAAATGAACCATCGCTAACAATTCACTTCATGGCAGCTCAAAGGTAATGATGTTAATAACTTTAACGTTTAAGGAGCAGAGGGAAGGGGGGCAGGAAAATGGGGGGGAGGGGAAATCGCCTCATGGAAAATGTCACGGTGGACTCACGCGCGGGACGATAAAAAGACGCGTCTCGCGATTATCGGCGAAATATGACGACGCGAGTGACGTCGTCGTCGTCTCAAACGCGACACCGTATGTACGTACGACGTAAAAATTTTAATAACAACTCGTGAACAAAGTGAATCTCGACAAACAAAAGCGTACAAAATAATCATCCCGGTCGCAATAGGCGACTGTTGTCGATAAAAAACAATCTACAAACGGGGATAACAACTCCAAGAACAGCACGGCTCCTTTTTCGATTTCTTTTTTAAAAAATTTTTTTTTTCCTTTCGCTTCCTCTTGGCTCCGTTTCTTTGGAAAGCCCGTGTCCGGATCGTCCCTCGAATTTACTTCGATGTACTTCGTCGCGCATCTCTCTCTGCATGTCATAGCTGCGAGTGTCCTGCGCCCGACGCGTCTTTCGGGCCATCCGGCCAACATGGTCCCCGCGGCTCTCGTCGGGATTTTCGCATCTACACGTTCGAGACACACGGAACAGTTAGGGGATACAAGGTAGGAAGTGTCACGCTTATACTCGAGGAGTGCTCGAACGGCCGGTGTTTCCGGCAAGCGAAACGGCAAGCGACACGGCTGCGAACTGTTTCTTTCCCATCGTTCGTACTGTACTTTTACTCGCGTATTTTACGCGATCGCGCGCGCTTTCATTCTCTCCTCTTTTTATCCTTTGCGGATTTCTCTCTCTCTCTCTCTCTCGTCAACCGCACTTAGCGGTACTTCCGTCCGACAAGGTACAAAAATTTCGAAAACAAAAAGATAAAAAAAAAGGAACACCGTCGGGAAGCAGTCTGAATACCCGTTTATTAGGATGAACTTACGCTACGATGCAGCGCGTACACACATGGCTTATCTGCCACGATAAGATTCGCTACGGAGAATCCGTCGCGGTTCCGAAGCGCCCTTCCTCTTCTCGCTTCCTCCTCTTGTTACGTTTGGTCTTGCTTGCGTTTGGTCGGGCTCGCGCGGGCAGGAACGCGGGAGATCTCTCTTCAGTGAAGTTGGTCGCGATCACGCCGCGTCGTCTCAGCCGAGCCCGGCCCATTGCATAAAGTCGGGCACTTCCCTTACGGGCACGTCTCTGGCCAAAGCCTTTACCCTGAGGTTCCGGTCTTCCGTAAGCAGAACCACCTCCCGTCTCAAACGCCGCGGCTGTCCCTCTTCTGTTGAGATCGAAGGTCGGGATTTCCCCGATTTTTTTTATTCAGCTTAAGTAGGATCTTTAACGCGTCTCTCTTTCTCGTCTCGGTAGTCTTTTAAGGAAGCAAAAAATATCGTCCTCTGATCGAGTTAGAGCGGAAACAAGTATATCCTTCGATAAATTTAGGCAAGAGTCTAAGAGTCCTCGTTGACAAATTTAGGGTCAGATTAGAGACGCAAAAAAATAACTACTTCTGCGAGAGGTTTGAAAATAGAACGGCGGGCGATTGTAGAATACGTTACAAATGGCGTCCAAATACAATTAATCATCTCGAACAGGAATGATAATCGCTGCGAAAAATATTTCATGGTCAAGGCTTTAAGAGCGGAGAGGTACGTACCTGCGTTCGTCTGATCCTTGCTGCTCCTGCAAAGGCTGAGGCACGTAGTTAATATCCTATCATCGTTCCGCGTCAGTCCATCCTGAAACGATCAAGATTCGAAATGTAGCGATAAATTCGACGGATAATTGTGTTTTCCATTTCAGTTGCGAGTTTGTCGCGCAGCTGATCGTTAAAATCGAGTTCGAAAAGGAAATGTGCGGCGAAGGCGGCCGGATAGAGTCGCGATATCGCGTGAAATCGTGTGGGCGTTCTCGGATACGCGGGGCTCGTTATCATAACATTCGCGCTTCAGTGAGCACCGAGCTGCCTATCGTTTCTGCGCCGCCATCGGTCTTCGGAACGACCGTTCTGCTTTGTGCAAACGTGCCGCGACCACTTTCCGCGCCTAGCTGTTCGAATCCTATCGGCTAAATGTCAAAATCGATTCGCTCTATCGCTCGTCGTTGTATACGGCAGGCGTTCGTACATAAAATCGCGATATAACTGCTCCTTGATAATATTACGTACTCACGGCGCATTACGTATTCAGCCGTCGGGACGAGAGTTTTATTCGTCGCTATTAACATTCGAAATTGTATTATCGACTTAACGATATATAAAACAGAGATTGATGCGACAGGTGAAGATAAGCGCGTCAAATTAGAAGAATAGCGAGACTCATCACTCTACACTCTTGTCCCCGAGTGATTTCGAGAGGTTTTCTAAAGATGTTTGACGAAGAAATAAAGAAGAAAAAAAAACAAGGATTGTTCATTGAGGATGCCATTAACGCCGCGGTCAACAATCGATGCAAATTCGCTTCCTAAATGCCTCCGACACCGAGTACAGTTACTCAAGAAGCGGATCAAATCGAGGCTCGTCCCGCTTCTCACTCACCTTGTCGACGTCTTCCTCCACCGTGAAAGTGCTGGATGTGAGAACGGTGCCTCGTGTGGTTAAGCACCGGATCGCTGGATTTCGGCTCCTCGCGAAGGCCAATGCTGCCTTAGCACTCTCGGCCACTCGTGCCACATGCTCGGGGTTCAAAGTCGCCCTCGACGCTGGAGGACAGTCCCTGGCGTCGGCGCCTCGAGCCAGACCTTCAAGTTCGTTTAGAACTGCAAAAAAAAATATGATTTCCGTTCACTAAGCACGCGCGAAAACACCGAAATTCGTGTCGCGCGAGTAAAAACCAAGATTAATTACCGCGGAATCGATTATTTCGAGTTAAAGCGTGAGTTATTCAGAAATTAATTTTATAAAAGGGATGCAAAAAAGGAGGAATTTCGTTACATCAATTCAAAAGAAATTAATTTACGTTCATAAAACGCGTATTCGTTTAATAGTAACACATTATTATTCGATTAATGATAGAATTCTATCGATTGTAATCTATCAGGAAGTAGTTTGTATCATCAGATTAGTGTTTCTTTCAAAACTTTCAAGCCTCGTATTTTTACTGTTAATAATCAACACTTTATTACCATCTACAAAAACAATGAAATAAAAAAGTTTATATTAAAAATTTTAGAAACTCTCTCCTTAACTTCGTCCCTGCAATTTCTGACGCTTACACAATAACTCAAATCTGGACATCGGGACTGACTCATCAAAAAGTTTCTTGTACCTTTCGAAAATCGATGCGGTCATATGAAAACAATTCAATTCCTCTAATAAAAAGATTCTCTATTAAAAGATTTGTAAAAAAAAAAAACCATGACTAATCACATCGCTTTAGCGCGCACACGTCCTTGTCTCGACAAGACCGATCTCATTTTCATGATTGAAAGAAACATGAAGAACCATTATATAAGGATCGCTCCGTTGAGAAGCTACTGTTGCTCAACGATCATCAGAACGACCATCGTTCCGATATCGCTCGTGTACCGATTACAGCCGGTCAGCGTTGGCGCTGCGTCGGGTCAATCGCGGGCGTTTCAGACCGCATACATGCATTCATGTATGAGCCGTGAGAACCTAACTGTGAAGGCTCACCGTTGCCCGCCATTGGAGAGGCCAGACGGGCTTGCTTATGGCCCGGCCGACTGGCCGACGAGGAGGTCAAAGGGCAGCACGCTGGCCGATTTTGCATGAGGGCGCACTTTCGTTTTTTCGGCCCCGCGCAAACGACAAAAAGGAACGGCAGAAACGCACAAAGCACAAGGATAACCGAATTAAAGGAGGAATTTAAGAAATGATGGCGCAAGTTTCTTACTCTTTATCATTTTCGACATTCGTGAAACAAACAAAATCACTTCCACCAGCTAGCAACATTCTGGCACATTAAATTCAGCGATTTAAAGATCGGCATTCACATCTCGCAGGGATAATTTACGACGGGATTTACGACTGAACTTTTAATACTTACAATCAGAAGCTTTGGATTAACGTCGAGAGGATTAGGCGGCAAAAGTGACTCGAGATTTCGACTTCGTATTTGCAACTCGTGCGTCAACCGCTAATCCTTTATCTCTTATATGCGAACAAGCGCGCCGAGTTCTTTCGCGAGAGGATTATTGTCGAGAGGGTGCTTTATCGAACTCCATTCGCCGCAGATTGCCGCGCGGGCGCGCCGAGGAGCAATCTACGGAAAATGCAAATAGGAGATTCAGCAAACTTTCCCCGACTCAATAAATTAACCGGCTGCCAAGCCTTATCCCTCCTTCCAGACCCGGCCGCCGTCCGAAAGGGCGGTCGGCGGTGGATGAAGTTCGTGAGAGACAGAGGGGCGGAAGTAGAAAGAATAACTGCAGAACGGGAGAATACGGGAAACGTTGTTATTTATCACCTAAGGCTTGCACAGACATCGTTTATCATTGCGCGATAAATTATTATTCTATCACTGAAATCCAACCGTGTGCGATCAATCAATTTTCAACGCTATTAACGTCGTATATAATTTAACGATTTCTTTTACCCCGCATTTATTTCGGCAAAATTCATCATCTTCTTAGCTTGTTCGCTCTCCGTTTCAATTTATGAAGCGCTGCTCCTTTTTTTTCCCCTTCAAACGAGAATCTGGGTACAATCGTGTAATGTAGTCAAAAAGCATAAAGAGTGTGACGAGCCGTGACTAATCAATAATCATCGATAATGCTCACTTTTGCCGTCGAAATCCTCGAAGCGAAACGATTGTCCTTGCCCTATCGACGGCCGCGACCTAGGTTTCATCTCAAAATTACGTCGGCGTTCGAAAATCTTCCGCCACCGGCGAGGCATCCATGATTCAAAATAGGACGAACAGTGACGTAAGCTTTCGCGCGAGAAATGCCGCGCTCGGATTGGCACGGTGAATAGATTTTGCTGAATCGACGATTGGATCAGCGCTAATTGGCGGTAGCGATGATGATTAATGAGCCTTTCGATTTCCAGCGGCCTTGAACCTTGACACCAGCCTTGTCTCCGATTGAACGGCAAGAGAGTGTGTCGCGTTCAATTTTCGCGATTTTTTTTCACGAGGCTTCGTCACGCAATCTTTGACATTCCAAAAAAAAAATAAATAAATCTTTCTTCGCGACGCAACTCTACCGGAACATTTTAAACTCGGCACATTTAATCGTGTGAAATCAATCGTACCATGCGATATCGTTTGAAAGTCGCATAGTGCAAACACAGATCTCAAGATACGACTTGAACGCGCGAGATGAATACGCGGCGAGAAATTAAAAGTTCCAAGATATATGCGCGAGGCATTAAATGCTCCGAATGCACACCGTCCCGTCGTCATAGCTGCAACTCCACACGCGTTGCTATAAAACACCGTGAAAATGTCAGCGGCGCCGTGCAAGATTGTAAATTTATCGCTGATTGCATTTCGTCGAGTAGCGAGTGCCTATAAACCGTCACTATTAAGAAAGAAACAAGCAGTCGTGTCATCGCGCTATGCGTCATCGTTGTTGTCATCATCACCGACCGATTGACAGAAACGAGAGTCTTATACGCATCGCCGTATCCGTAAAAGACGCACACAGATCTAAGCGTGATTTGTTCCATCGCTGATTGCTTACGCTCACAATCCAGCAAATTAATCTTAATTGACTCTACTTCTTCTTATTTAGAATAAATCTTTATTCTAAAAAAAGTTAATTAGAAGAAATACGTAAAATATTTTAAGAAACAATACAGTTATATTTAAGAGAGAAAAATAATTACCGAGGTGAAATTAACGAGCTAAATTTCAAGTAATATTTCTGCTAATTATTTTAGAATTATATGTCACAGAAGTATCTCATCGGGGTAATAAGCGCTTTATTATGTTTTGTAATGCGGCAGTTACCGCTATTCCGAAGCCTCGCATAGCAATCAAGCGAATAATAATTAATGGTTCTGAGAAGACAGTAAGCACCTTACATATACGATATAATTAGAGCATCACTAGATCATACATATTGAAAGTTCCGTGTCACTGCAGAATCCTTTATACGTTTTCTCGTCATTTTTTCAAGGAAAATTTAATTCAAAATTTTACTTTCAATGTAAAATATGTACTTTCTCGATTAAAATCGACAATTTCTTCTGTAAAACACAAGTTCATTGACATCTTATCCCAAACTGAAACGTACCCCTACATTAAGAATTATAAAATATATAATATGTATATAAACAGTCTGTAGCAAGCACTGTTATATTTACATAGCGGAACGTCACGTGCGGCACGTTCTAGCCGGAATGCCGTTCAGAGGCTTCGGATTTAATCGGACGTCAAGCGCGACTCGCGAGGCCGTGAATTCGTTCGGGCCGGATTTCGACGTGGGACCGTTAAGGAAAGCGCGCACCCTGACAGTGCCGATCGACACGGCGCTCGAGGGAGATTGCTCAACGCTAATTGGAGCGAAGGAATCGGCGTCGGGCTCGCATTCCCCGGCATCATCATCTCGGCACGGCCGAGAGCTGACGCAAGCGCCGTTAATGACCATATCGGCCCGAGTTCAATCCGTCCAGCAGCTTCCCGCGACTGGACAAAGCGTTTCGCCGGCGATGAGAGCGCCGGGGGTAAATGGGACAATTCATTCTCACGGGAGGCGAGCGAGCGGGGAGGGCGGCAAAGTTCCGCGACAGGTGACGCGTAATGACGCTGACCCAATGAACTATTCGCCGCCTTGGGAAGGGAGAGACCTGACGATCGCCGACGACTCCGCGACGACAGTGAAACGTCGTCGGAGGGAAATCAAGTGTGTTTGCGCATCGGCGATTGTTTTGACCCGAGGCGGCGACCTCCCACTGGCCGTGCCGCTTCTCCTCAATAACATTATCATAGCCTTGGAAAGGTGTGCTTCGATCATCGTACAATTTCTTGATGATTTCATAGATTCATCGCAATTTTCAATGCGCCGAGAGCTAATTAGAAAAATTAATGATAATCGAATCAGTCATGCAGGATGTATCCGATCACTCGCAATTCTAATAATTTGTCGATCCGCAGCGCGGTTAATTAATAAACCATTTTTTTTAATCAACGGATTTAAAGTGGTATGATGACAGTTTTTATTTCCCGTTGCCAGGCAACAACCAAACTTGCTTCCGGTTTGCACCTCGATTCCCAACTGTGTGAATCCCGCCAGACCGAAATTCGCGCAGAATATCAAACTGTCATTGTACTACTTGAAATCCGTTAATTTTAAAAAATGATTTATTAATTAACTACGCTGCGGATCGATAGATTCGGGATAAAACGCTTGATCTGGTGGTGCGTCCCGATTGCGGGTGATCGGATACATCCTGTATACACATATGATGCCTCTGTCTCGAAAAAAATATATACAGAGACAATGTATGCGTAAATTTATACTGCATAAAATTGCAAATCACGGTATCGGATTTTTTTTATTAGCGAGACATCGACGATCGTGATGGCACGTTCTATAAAAAATCGTTTCGCAACGGCTATGATTACAATCGGGAGATAGACAGCCGATTTTTACGCGATGGATGGACGCGCCGTGACAAAAGAGAATCAAGTTTATATTATTCGACTGGATGCTTCTCTCGTTTCGCTCGCTACGCGAACACGTGCCGCATCAGAGAGGCAAGGTCTTCTCATTGTTATTTATCAGCGATTATTTCCACGCACGTGATCTTTTATAGGGATATTATAGCGAACCGTGTTACCGATGTGTATCCACCTCCCTTCCGAGAGTTAATCAACGACCTTCGAACGAAAAAAAAAAAAAAAATCGACGAGGTTGTACGGTCAAGTGGCATGCGTGTCGATTTCTCGGCATTCCTTTATTCCGCGCTGATAGTGTATTAAATTTTTGTTTTCACTTACCGACAAGTGGCACCATAAGTGTGTATATCGGTTGCGCGCTGGCAGTAGCCCTCACGATGATCTGCAGCTGCGGCAGGTAATCGATGAAGCAGTTCGTATCCGGCACCAATTGTCTCGGTCTCACTTCGATTTCCACCGACACCGAGGACTTTTGCAAGATTGCCTAAACATTGCAAAAAGAAAAAATATGTACATATATATTTTAGATATTTTACCGCTGTACGTATAGAATATCTATAAAAAATAATATAATTTAATGACAATATAATGTATAACAAATATTAATATGCATTAAATTGCACGTTCAAAAGAGCCAATTAAATTAATAGCGAGGCGAATTTTACAGTTGAGCGATTGTTTTAGCCTGCATCCATGTTCGCGACTCTCTTCACTGGAAACGTGACGTATCTCGAAGCGCGTTACATGCACGCGCTTCAGAAAGACGCGCGCGCGTGTATGTATAACGCGCAAGGATGCAGCGGAAGACGCATTATCTTCCAATTGAATCCCACGTATGCGGACGGTGCCTCGCGAGAGAGGTAATGGCACGCACCGGACAATGTCGACTCGGCAGCATAACGCGAATGCCAATTGTCGTAACAGAGACCACAAACTATAATGAGACATCTAATGTTCATCGTTTCATAAAACGAACTGATCAACACATAACCGTTCGTCCGTAAGGATCTTTATTCCAAGATATGAGGCTTGCGCTCGATAATAGAAAATTAATTAGATAAATTAGAATAATGAATTAGAATGTTTGAGCCAGTATTAAAGCGTGCCCTGTAGACATGTATATCTTCTTCGTTAGAATACTAAAATATTCTATACCTGTTATCTTACTTCATTAACATATTCCAAGTAGTGATTTTGGGTATTTATTGCCGTCTATGATTTTGAAGAGGAATAATGTATGCAAGAGTAGCTTCTGAATAAATTATAACTGTAAATCTTCTCACTTTCCGTTTTTTTTGTATATTTTTTATATAATTATATGTTGTCTAAAAGAAATCTTCTAGCCAAATAAGTATTAAAAACACAAGAGTTTTGCATAAATTTAAAATTCAGAAGCTATATTATAATTCCGAAGAGCCTCTCACGCTACTTCTGCCAGTATTAAAAATAGCCCCGACCTCAAAATATTTCTCTCTAAATGTTCTAAGACACAATTCATACAAAAATTTATTCATTCAATAAATATTTTCTGAGTAATATTTTTTTCCTGCTCGACACTAAATATCTTCGTAAATCTTTAAAAGACTTATAGATTTGTATCTCATACATGTAATGGCTCTATAATTAATAGTTAGCGCGAATATAATCGGTCTCTTAAGATTTATTCCAATTCGAGTCACCTGAATATGGTTTCACACCAATGTTCGTGCGATGGCACGTCGCGCGAGACGGCGAAAAGCATGCGAGGAATCTGAAGACGAGCCTAATTGCTCGTGGGAGTACGCGGGCGGAATGCAAAACTAGGGAGACGTTCCGTGACGTAACCGAGCAAAGCCCCGTCACACCACGTCGCGCCGCTCCGCAAATGTCATGCACGTGTCAACGAAATCTCGATCCTTTCTTCAGCTCTCCGGAATGTTATTTTCAATTCTTACTTCATAAAAAGATGATAAAATAATCAATATCCCGATTTGAGACGAACCTTAACACGAGCACGACTCTTTGACATTAAATTAAGGAATAACTGCATTCAAAATAATTTAGCTAATAACTGACACGAGTCTAAAGAGAACGTTTACATTTCGGAAATAAATTCGAGAGAATCAATAAAATAAAAATATCAATATATCAGTAAAATCTCAGCGATAAATCTGCGCACAAAATCTACTATGCGATCTGTGTAAAAACGTTACACGTTACACGAGATTTCGACGAGATTTTTTCTCTCATCCCTCTGACATTTTATTCGCAACTCTCATTCTGCAAAAAGATAATGAATAGCCGGAGGTCGCTCGCCTACTTCTTGGCAAAATTTGACGCGAGTAATAATTTTAAGCTAAATCGGCCGCTTTTAAATAAAGCTCTGAAATACGCGATAATCAATACAAGTGAGTAGACTAATTTTGCAGAAATATAAATTTAAAAAATTGACGTATAAAATTATTGCGCAGAAATACATATAATAAAACGGTGCACGAGATTTAATTTTAAATATATTTGCACGAACGTGCAGCGTCGATATAGCCTTTGTTATAAATAATTCAATGTTAACCTTCCGCTTCACAGCGATCTGGATATAATTTTTAACCCTTTTGTTACGCTACTGTAGCCATATAGCTACGTATTTTAAATTATGAGATAAAATATTATAGCCATCTATATTTCAATATCTGAAAATATCAACTAATTCTTTTTAATCTTGTATACATGACTGTAACACGTATTTTATTATGTATTTAGAAATTTCGCAATAAAATATTAGAATACATTATCATCTTTCATTTTTCACAAGAGCTATTTTTAATATGCAATTAATGTTTAAAAATAATACTTTCCTTGACATATTTTTAATAGATTTACTAAGATTACATCAAATATAAGAAAAAAATGCATAATAACTTTACTCATGCAAATTATTGTACATGGTTAAAAAAAAAAAATAAATAAAATTTACTGCTAAACGGTAACAAATAAAAAAAGTTTTTAAAACGTCAAAATTGTTTATGAATGATTTATTTATTACGTAACGTGGACAACAATACGAAGAAATATTTTTTGTGGCTATTAAATAATATAGGAATGAAAGGATTAATTGGCACCTGATAAAAAGTATGAAAATGTCAAAATTCCTGATGCGCCTGTAATTATCAGAATATCCCGATATATTTGCCTAATCGAAAACTCTATTTAGAGGATTAAAGACTCATTTATTTCCATTTCATGTCGCTCGAGAGATTCTAGAGTCTTTCACTCGATTAAACCACCACTCGTTTGTGAATGAATGGTAACACCTGTTCGAATATTCTCTCAGAGCAGTATATATGTACTCAAAATATCTATTCCAGCGATGCGAGAATCAAATTTATCTTGTGCAAACAATAAAAAATAAAAGTAAACCACGTTTTATTCAATTTGACGCCATTCTCGCGACATTGAATTGCATTCGATATGCAACCGCGATTAACTGCGCAATTTGTCAACCGAGATCCGCCGACATTCATCGACTTAACACAAGACGTTACTTGAAATATGTGCAATTTTTTCGACAGACTATAATTCAAACAAACTCATCTCGCCGTTGCGTCATCGGAAAATAAACTCGCGTGCTCGCGGGTGTCTTTCGAATTCAATCGCTCGCGGCGCGCCTCATTACAGCGCGCCGTGCGTGTGACAGCGGCGTAAAAAGCCCAGGAATTTACTCCCGTTTAAAGTATTCGTGAATTCCTAAACGATGCGGCGTGTACCGTTGCGCACTCCCGCGAACGTAGCAACCATCCTCGCCGTCTCTCTCTCTCTCTCTCTCTTCGTCTCTTTTCACTCTTCTTTCCTCGCTCTTTCCACCACACCGCGCCGTTCATGGTTCTCGTCACTTTTTTTTCCCTCCGTGGGCCCGCTCGCACCTCACACGCCTCGCACCTCGTCCGAGAGCTCAGCCTGCTCGTGAGAACCCTCTTGATCACGCATCGCGGCCCCTACGCCCGCGCGCATATTAAGCGCACACCGACGCGGGCCTTCACACGCTCGAGCGGGCCCGCGCCCCGTAACAACATTGTAAATGCGCAACGCTCGCGGAAACGTACCTGGTAACCGTCGGGGACAGGCTCGCAGATCGTCCGTCCGGCGAGAGCTAGGAACGTGCCGTACTCGCGCGCGGAATAATGCTCTTCTGCAGGTAAGAAGAGAAGACGGAGTCATCGACTCCTATTTTTTTTTTTTTTTTTTCGTTCGACGCACGATCGTGATTCTCGCGATGAATTTATCCGACAATTAGATGCGTCTTCCTTGGAAAACACGAGGACGAAACACGAGGACGAAACACGACGACGTCGATGCACTTTTATCTGAATTTTAACAAAGTTGTGCAATTTAAAAAAAAAAGATACCATAGAGCGCTGTAGTATTATCGCATTATTCTCACGAATTAATTTAACCGGGAACTCGCGCGAGAGACGGAGATAGTTTCTCGTAAATAGGTTAGGATAGAAGAGCACTACAATATTTCTGGTCTCTCAAGTCACTGAATAAGTGAAACGCAGTAAAAGCACAGACCATGGCGGAATATTAGATTTAGACAGAAGTCGCGTACGTTTCCAGCGACGCCTGAATAATATATCATCGCTCGCAAAAGTTCACGGGATAAGTATCAACGCTCACATTCTGATATAGGACGGTGCGGGAGCCGCAGCGAGTTCAATACGGTACTTCGAGGGAGAAAAATCGAATTTATATATTATTTGTTCTGAACTATAAACGTGAACGGCGGGAGACGTAAAAGATCCGTTATCGTGAATACATTATGATACGTAACGAGATAACGAGTCGTTAATAATAAGCCATTTATGGCAATTAAGCTAGCGATTCACGGTAATTATAATGTAATGATTATAATAAGTATATAGGATAATGGCGGGGAGAGTCTAGCGTGCAATTATTCGTAGAACAAGTAACAGTAGCGAGAAATGTGCCAAACGTAAATTAATTTCGGATAATTGAAGAGATAAGAGAAGCACGACGAGAGCAGAAATCGTTGTTTTCCGCAAGCCACGAAAGTCATTCCTGTTAAACGAAGTCGTGCCATTACGAGCGGCGTCGCACACCCATCGTGAATATATATGTTCTCATAAATCAGGCAGGATACTCGGCCTCACCGGCCGCGAACGATCGGCGTGTATCTGCCGCTTCATAATCGTTACATCTGTTACATCGTAATCGTTATCGTTTCAATTATCCGCGAACTTAACCGGCCCCGAGATACAGCGATCGAGAGAGAGCAAAAAGAGGGAGAAAGCGGTCGATCTGAGCGCGCGAGCGCGCAGGTGTTCGGTCTTCGCGTGCAGTCGCCCCGCATAATTCCTCGCGTTGCACCGCGGGTTAAGACGTTTTCCCCATAAGCGAGACGCGCGCCGATAGTTGCGACAATTTTATCGACTCGACGCGCGTTTATACCACGTGGCGGCGAGCGTGTCAACGCCGGCCGAGGAGGAA